GCAATGCAGTCAGCTTCCCTGTATAGCTATCCTTATCTCAAGTAGCAAAAACCCTTGATCCTTCCTATTATTTCTTATACTCTCTCTTCAACAAAATTAGAGATAAAGGCAAAATATTTTCTGCCTGGTAGCGAGGGGGTGGGGGTGAGAGGGAGGGGAGTTGGGGGTAAGAGAGGGGAGAAGTGGGGAGAAATGACCCAAACATTGTATGCACATATAAATAAAAGAAAAAATTTTTAAAAATTTAAAAAATAGAATTATACACCAATATCTTTAATGAATATAGATGCAAAAATTCTCATCAAAATACTGGCAAACACAATTCAACAACACATCAAAAAGATCATATACCATGACCAAGTCAGTTTCATTCAAGGGATGCAAGGATGGTTCAACATACATAAATCCATAAATGTAATACAGTATAAACAGACACAAGGACAAAAACCACATAATCCTCTCATAGACACAGAAAAATCCATTGACAAAAATCCAACACCCTTTCATGATAGAAGCGCTGAAGAAACTAGGAATAGAAGTAATGTTCCTTGACACAATAAACGTAATACATGACAAATGTACAGCCAACATTATACTAAGTGGCGAACACCTGAAACCATTCCCCTTAAAGTAAGGAATGAGACAGGGCTGTCTGCTTTCTCCACTCCTATTCAATATAGTTTTGGAATTCCTAACAAAGCAGTAAGAAAAGAGCAAGAAGTGAAATGGATTCAAACAGGAAAGGAAGAGTCAAACTATCATCCTATACCTAAGAGACCCCAAAAACTCTACCAAAAATGATTAGAAATCATAAAGTATTTCAGCAAAGTAGAACACAAAATTAAACATACAGATATCAGTAGCTTTTCTATATAACAAGACTATATAACAGACAAAGAAAGAATCCAGGGAAACAATCCAATTTACAATAGCCTCAAAAGCAATAAAGTACCTTGGAATAAATTTAACAAAAGAAACCAAAGACTTTTTTAATAAAAACTGTAAACCACTGAAGAGAGAAATCAAAGAAGATTTCAGAAGATGGAAAGACCTTCATGCTCATGGATCAGTAGAATCAACATTGTGAAAATGTCCATACTACCAAAAGCAGTCCACATGTTCAACACAATAACTATCAAAATTCCAATGACATTCTACAAAGAAAAAGAAAAAACAATCATGAAATACATCTGGAAACACAAAAGACCTCGAATAGCCAAAGTAATTCTGAGCACAAAGTCCAATGCTGGAGGCATCACAATACCCAACTTCAAACTATACCACAGAGCCATAACAATAAAAACAGGATGGTATTGGCACAAAAGCAGACAGGAAGACCAATGGATCAGAATAGAAGATCCAGACATAAACTCATGCTTCTAAGCCAACTGATCTTTGACAAAGGAGCCCAAAACACACAATAGAAAAAAGACAGCCTTTTCAATAAATGCTGCTGTGAAAACTGAATATCCACATGTAAAAGACTGAAACTAGGTCCCTATCTTTCACCCTGTACCAAAATCAACTCAAAGTGAATCAAAAACCTTAATATAAGGCCTGAAACTTTGAAACAATTCCAAGATGCAGTAGGAAATACACTGAAACAGATAAATATAGGGAATGACTTCTTAAACAGAACCAAAAAACCTCAGCATCTAAGAGAAACAATGAACAAATGGGACTGCATCAAACTAAAGAGTTTCTGCACAGCAAAGGAAACAGTCACCAGACTCAAGAGACAGGCCACAGAATGGAAGAAAATCTTTGCCAGCTACCCATCCAATAAGGGACTAATATCCAGAATCTACAGGGAACCCAAAAAACTCATCCCCCAAAGAATCAACACCACAGTGAAGAAACAGGCACATGAATTAAACAGGGAATTCTCAAATGAAGAAGAAGGGCCAGTAAATACATGAAGAAGTTTTCAACTTCCCTAATTATAAAAGAGATGCAAATCAAAATAACACTTAGATTTCATCTTACCCCAATTAGAATGGCCATAATCAAGGGTAATAACAACAACAAATTATTGGCGAAGATATGGCAAACAGGAACCCTTATACACTGATTGTGGGAATGCAAATTAGTACAACCACTATGGAAAGCAGGATGGCAATTCCTCAAAAACTAGAGATAGAACTGCCATATGATCCAGTGATACCACTCCTGGACATCTATCCAAAAGAGCGTAAGACAGGATACAGTACAGACACCTGTATACCAATGTTCATTACAGCACTAGTCACAATAGCCAAGCTTTGGAAACAACCTAGATGCCCTACAACTGATGAATGGATCAAGAAATTGTGGTATACATACACAATGGAGTATTACTCAGCCACAAGTTGTAATGACATGTGGTTTGAAGGTAAATGGATGCAAGTGGAGGACATCATGTTAAGTGAAGTTACCCAGGATCAGCAATACAATAGTTGCATGTTTTCTCTCATATGTGGAAGATAGATCTAAAGACAAACATATCCACAAAAACAAGCGTGATCATAAACTCAGAAATAGAACATGTTTGTAACAGTGGAACTACTATATGGAACTCGGGGAAAGAGAGAAAGGAAAAGAGAATGATAGAGCATCAGTAATACTGCATATCATAATATGTGAAAGCAGAGGATATAAGGATATGTATTGAAAGCTGTTGAGAAACTGGGGGCAGGAGGAAAAGAGGTAAGGAAGAGAAATCTAAGGGAATAAACAGCCCAAAGTAAAGCATACCCAAAGTGGAAATGCATTGAGACACCCATTTGAATGTCAACATAAATATTAATAACAAAAACCAGGACTATAAAATAGGCACAGTGTTTCGGGGGTACTGTTGGGAGGATGAAGAGTGAAGGAAGGAGATTAAGGTGATAGTATACGATTGATGAACTTTATATACCTATATGAAAGAGAACTAAAAAACCTCTTGCAGTTACTCTGGGCCAGGTGGGGAGGGGGCTGAAGAGGAGAGACAATGGGGGACATGTAAATAATGTACAATATAAGTCTGATTGGAACTGTCACTTTGAATCCCCCCATATCATGAATATATCCTAACAAAAATTTTATTAAAAAAAAATATGGGCACAAGCGACTATTTCCTGACCAGGACTACAATAGCTCAGGAAATAAGAACAAGAATTAACAAATGAGATTGCATCAAATTAAAAAGTTTCAATGCATCAAAGAAAGCAATTACAGAGTGATGAGACAGCATACAGATTGGGAGAAAATCTTTACAAACTATCATCTGACAAGAGATTAATATCCAGAATATGTGTGTGTGTGTGTGTGTGTGTGTGTTTGGAGCTCAGAAAATTAACTAACCAAAAGAATAAATGGCCCTATAAGTAAATGAGTAAATGAATTGAACAATTTTCAGAAGATGAAGTACAATTGGCAAATAAATACACAAAGAAATGTTCAGCATCCTTAACCATAAAGGAAATGCAAGTCAAAACAACACTGCAATCTACCTTACCCTAGTCACAGTAGCTATCACCAAGAACACAAACAACAACAAATGCTGGAGAGGATGTGGAGGAAAGGAACCCTTATACGCTGTTAGTGCAGCTACTATGGAAATTAGTATGGACATTCCTCAAAACATTAAAAATACAAATGCACATGATTCTGCTATACCTGAGCATATACCAAAAGAATGTAAGTTAGCATTCAATAGAGACACCTGCACACCCATGTTTATTGCAATACATTTCACAATAGCCAAGTTATAGAATCAATCTAGGTGACCATCATCCAATTAATAGATAAAGTATGGCATATTTATGAAATGGATATAATTCAGCAATAAAGAAAAACAAAACTCTATCACTTGCAAGAAAATAAATGAAACTGGATAACATCATATTAAGTGAATTAAGCCAGATTCAGAAAGACAAACAGCACATTCTCTCTTATATTCATAATTTAGATCCATAAATACAAATTGACATGAACCTAAACAGAGGACAATCTGTAGGACAGAAGGGCAAGGAAGGTGCTGAGGGGTGAATAGGATCAAAGTATATGTATGTAAGTGTGGAAATGTCACAATGAAACCCATTATTTTGTACTATTGAAAAAATCTAAAAAAAAAGAAGAAGAAGAAGAAGAAGAAGCATACCTGGTGTCTAGAACAAACGGGAACACCTATCCTAAGGTGAATTTAAATCAAGGTCCCTACCTACATTTTCACCATAAATATCCCTGATTGGGAGGATAAAGGAGAGTGGTAGAGGGGGTGAATACAAGTATGATACATTTGATACAAGAACCTTTGTAAATGCCACAATGTATCCCCACCCAGCACAATAAAGTAATAAATAAAATATATATAATATATATAGAAAGAGAGATCCCTGATGAGATATATATAGAGAGAGAGATTAGATATTATATTAGAGATTAGATATAGATACAGGCATAGACATAAGCATTGATATAGATATAGATATAGATAGATATAGATTCCTCACCACACCTCTTCTCAGGTGTATTGGTACCTATGTCTGTGTGCATACTGTCCTTTGCTTTGCTTTACTAATAAACTTTCTTGATCTGTAACAAAAAAACAGAAAGAAGCTTACAGTACACTAGGGGTTAGATAGTTTACTTTCACTAAACTTAGTATTTCATGGGGACATTGTATCACACTAATAGATTTTAAAAATTGGGTGAAGGACTCTATAGAAAACTTATTCATGAGTGATTACTAGAGAGTAGGAAGGGTAGGGAGCACAGACAAAGGAAGACTGATTTCATCAGTACACACTATATGCATGTATTGAAATGTCACATTGAAACTCACTAATATGTACAATTATAGATCTTAATCAAAACTTCAACAAATTTTTTTAATGTATACATGGACTTATTTTAGAATAATGAAAGCTGTTATATAAATTTCTGTAAATGATGCTAATTTCTCAATTTCTCTGCCTGTCTAGATTATTTGCAATTTGTAAACTCATGGACATTCCCCCAAAAAAGAAGTATACCTAATCCTTTCATGAGTTTATCCATCACTGGGAAATTCCCTCTGCCAGCAAATTCCTCTCCATGATCAATCAGGGCTTCCTTCACTGCTTCATAGCCATACAACACCACAGTGGGCTTCATTCCCAAATACAGAGTGAACACAGGACCATAATCTTTTGCTAGCTGGAAAAGAAGAAGATGCAAGAAATGTGAGAATTTCAAAACTGAATGTTGATAAGTGAAGAAAAATGCTTAATTTAATCTTATTGAAGATACATTTTAATATTCATCACCCAATATAAAAGAATTCAACTTTCAGAACCAGCAATTTAATAAGAAAATACATTTAAATGGTAATTATCACTATATTAATTAGCAACATTGCTATTATCAGTTAGCTTTCACTGCATGACAGACTGTAGGCTGCATTTTAAAAATTATTTTATTAAATTTTCCTGCCAAACTTATAGTTGTATCAAATTCTGCTTCATACCTAGATTTATAGTAAATGATGTCTTTCTGCTCCTGTTTAAGGGAAGTCCCTCCAACTTACCCCCTGTGTAGAGTGTAGATATCCTTTCTCTATATCATCCTTACAGCACTTAAGGCCTCTAAATTTCAATAATATATGACAAAATGGTAGACTTGTCATAGTATATGTGTACTCTCCAGATGGTACATTCTACAATTACTTGCATCTTTTAAAGTTTTCATTCACCATTAAAATCCTCTGTACACATCTAACATAGTGCCTAATACAAAATAGGCATTTAACTACTATTGAATGCATGATATTTTGTGAAAAATAATTATGATATACATCTTAAAGAAAATGGAAATTACAGCTCAGAGGAATTTAAAAACATCCCTGA